CCGAGACGGTGACATTTACGCTATTATTATTATTGAGATTTCGAGCCTCTTTTACCAGTTTATCTGCGTTCTCATTACCTGTGACGTGGACATGCGCAGGCAAGCATTGAAGAATGCAGACCTTATCTAACTTTTGAAGCTCGTTTAGGCGAAAGTGGATCCACAGGAAGCTTCCATTCAGGATTGCCTCGAGTCACAGAAAACAATTCCTTTTCCAGAAATGGGAAGGTTCAAGCTCAGAAATGGGAAATGGGTCTATACATGTCAAGTGCCTCCGCTAGTGCCAGAAGCTTTTTTGTAAAGTTTCGTGAAAATGGCTCCAGTGCCAATTTTGTGTTAAACCCTGAGGCAAACAATTAAAATTCTCAATACAAATTAAATAATTTTACATCTGTTTAACAATCACAAATACAAAACTTTTTTGGTCAGAAGAAAGAACTTCGCTATATTCCAGAACAGTATCTCATAGTGGAGCGTAAGATTAGACCTGAGTAATTATAAGTTGATCGCAAAGATATAACAATGAATTATTTTGATTTATAACAGTAATTTCAAAGTATGACAATCACGGACAACAGCATCGTAGTGCTCGAATTCGCTTCAGACTTTTTAGCTGACTAAGAACAGCTCCTGAATCGCAAGCGTAATAAAGGAACTGACAAAATTTTCTGTTAATATTGTCACTTCTTGTTTTAAAACACTTTGTACTGTGTAACTGTTCAAACTATTATGACTAGCTAAATTAATGTTTTTGTATTTATAGCTGTTAAAGTTACATACAGGCAAATGTAAAATAAATGCCCTTTCAAAATTACATATTTAATTACAGGTTTTAAGCTTTTGCTTTATTTGCATGATGACTTAAGGTCTCCAAAATAAAAAAAAAAAATTCACTGAGGTCTCAGTCATAAACTAGTTGGCTACATTTTTCTTAAGTGCGCGCCACTTAACGCCAAACATAAACGAAGCAACGAAACCCAACAATATGGAAAGTTTCGTGGAAAAAAAAAATTACCGTATCATATAAAGTAATATATATATAATGCTTAGTGTGCGAAATGCGGAAGCTACGCGCGATGACGAATTTACGCAATTCTCTGGTTTATTTATTTATTTAACATCAGAGATTTGCTGGAATTCCCCATGCACATAGACATATTTTTTACTCAAAAAACCTTTAGAGAACTGCGAGAATTCTACATTGTGCACATTGCATAGTTATTCATTACGCGAAATACAAACATGCTACAACATTTGGCGCTTTCGCGCCCATCTAGCGATTAATGCCCCGTTCCCGTTTTCAAAAAATTATTATTCAGAACCAATTTGATAGGATTATCATTGAATAAAAATTTGGGTGCTACTTGATTTTCATGGCCTCCATTATCAAAACGGTGCCAAAAATACCGCCAACTTTGTAGCTGCCACGTCTGCGTGATTGCCTTTAGAATGGCATTAAAAGGCTTATCTTTCCCAAAGGATTTCCGCCACATAAATTCGGAAAGATACGACTCCAGGTGATGTCGTGCCGTACACCTTTGCTTTTTTGTTTCACCATTTAACAGAACCCAAAATCTTTCCACATTTTGAATGTGAGCATCGGTTGTTAGATCAACAAAATTAAATGTGTAACAAACATTTAAATGGCTGTAACCAGCCCTTTTTAAGCTCATCTGTTTTATAGGCTTGCCAACAATCTGAATATATTGTTGATCCTTCCCACTATGTGGTCTATAATCGTTGGCATCAGTGTATTTGCTTCCCTATTTGGAACCTGAACAAGAAACAAAGAGGTTCTATTCTAACCTTTTTGACAAAAAAAGCACTCGCCATTTTCTCAGCATAACCGGCCGAATCTGAATTGCTGTTGAAGTACTCTGCAAGCTTTATTTTTTCGCCGCACAAACTCTCGTCAATTTAGACTATTTTTCCAGGATCACTTATTCGTCTTTTACATTGTCGAAGTAAATCTAGAAAACAAACCTCTCTCATGTAATTGTTCCAGTAAGTCGTGGTATTTTGACAGATGTTGAGCTGTTTATTTCACCACTTAAGCCATCTTAGTTCTGCCCAACAGTAGATGAAACGTTGTGAAGTGAGGAATGGAATTTTGGAACCACTAAACCAGTTGTCGGATCGAATGTTTTTTTTTTTTTTTTTTTTTTTTTTTTTCCTCCAACTTTTTTACGTAGCACCTCCACATACTTTTGTTGGTATTTAAGTATTAGCACCTTGCCGATTTTTTACAGAAGAAAAAGGTGAATTTTCAGTTGTAGCTTATAATCGATATGGTTACCTACAGAACTGTTACGCATATGGTGGCTACAGTTTGGCGGCTTCCTAATAAAATGGTTGCGATAATACGTAAATATCCTATAGTTTTATTTCGTAGCCATTTACGCATATTCGATTGCGAGGTAATATATCTTTTTCCTGAAAAAAAAGATACCGCATCTTCCTCAGTCCTCGGTAAATTATAAACTCTCAACACTTTTTATAATGTTCATATTGAAAAAAGACTTACGATATCAAGGGAGTCTTCAAATTCGTATTGAGCCGTTTTTTATGTAATTTGGTGGTTTATCCCGGGGGGACGTGAAAATCAAGCAGTACCAAAATTATTTCAATAATTAGGGTTCTTTTTTTTAAAATCTTGAAAGTTTTTCAAAAAAAGAAATGCCCCACAGCTACATAAAAACTTAATTTTCATCAATTATTTATTCAGAATTCACTATTGAGAAAAAATAAATTCCAGCCTTTTACAATTTGAATAGTTCTACAATAGTTTTTATACATATAAATTACACAGATTGCTTTATTATAAATTCATTAAATTAATTGCAAATCAAATTTGCATTTCTATACGTTTTATATTCTGTGAAAGTAAAGGTTAATTTTTAAATAATATAATAAAAAAATCTTATGTACTTTCCTTTCTCCCACGTTAGAGGGGGGATATGTTTGACAGAAGAAAGAAATTTGTCAGTTTCTCCATGAAAAATAATTCTGTACTGCATGGAAAAAGAAAGCTTTTTTTAAACAATTTATTTATTTTAGTACCTCAGATAAGTAATAATACGTGATTTTATAATAAAAAATTCATAAAAAGGGTACTTTCCCATTATACACCTATCACACTTTTGGGCATTTGTGAAAGAAAAACACACACTAAGACCCAATGATAATGCCATCTGGACTATAATTGAGTACATGTCTATCTATAAACTATTCTTATAACTAAAAATTGTTTACAGATTAAAAAAAAAAAAAAACCCTAGCCAAAATGCCTGGCAGATACTATAAAAAAACTAAGAAAAGTCTTCAAAATGAAAGCAAGAAGTTAATAAACTTTAAAAATTATAACCATCAGCTCGCCACAATTTAGCATATCAACTTATTAAGAACATGTAGTTTTGAGAAAAATGAATCTTTCAATATCTAACATAAAAATTCCCACACTACATCATTCATAATTATGCTTCTAAAATAAAATCACGTATACTAACAATAATTCTTACTGTTGCTGAAAACGTTCATTACAAAAAGTTGTATTCCTCTAAAAGGATTTTTTAAAAAAAGTGTAATAAAATAACAATAATAAAGCACTTACAAATCCCAAGTAGTTTTAATCTAATTAATCTCTTTTTTACTGAGCGCTGATCTAATTAATCTGTTATCATTATTATTACTATGCAGTTTTAATCTATTCAAGCTATTATTATCAATGTTCTAAACTCTAGGCAATTGTTTAAACAAGCTAAGTGGAACTACAAAAATGCTTCAATGGCTGTAATGAAATTTTAAAGCATATAAATGATGTATAGCTAAAATGTTCTCTAAGGACATTATGCAACTTGCACAAAAGTTTAATATGTTCAATATAAATGAGAAATGTATTATACTAAAAATATTTTTTTAAACTGATACCAAAAACTTATATTTTTAAAAATATTTAACTCTGTTAGTTTCATTTATTCAAAAATGTTTAATCCTTTTGTTTAAAAATAAATACTTGAATTTATAGAAAATAATAAGACCACTAGTAGTTGAAGACAGTAAACACAGATACTTTACTTAAATTTGATTCTTGGTATCTGAATAAACTAGATGTAAAATTTTTCTGATTCTTCCAGTGAATAACACAAATATGAACTAATTACTGCTATAAAGCTTTCTTTGAAGGCCCCCTTTCCTTTTAAATTCTTGTATAATTCTTAATAAATCCAACCAAACACAAATAGCACAAAAGCCTTGGTAGAAATAAATGAAAACAGATGAAGAAAGGGCTTTTCCCCAAACTGAGAAAGTTGAAGTTTTCATCATATACTATAATATGATAAACTTTATACTTTTTATTTATTATGTATCATTTATATTTTTGCATTACCCATTATGATAATTGTACTTTACATTGTATATTATTTTGTACATATTTAATTATATGGGGCGGATCTGGCAATCTAGTAGAAAAGTATTTTAAAGCTTGAATTTTATTTTTTGACATAATGTATAGTTTTAAATTGCAAGTTGTCCAAATTACCGAACATCTTCAATTGAGCTAAAAAAAATCACTACATCAAAAAATCAGGTACTGTTCTGTTACCAGGACTGGATTTAGAAATCTAAGTATATATACATGTATGGATGTGTTCACGTATGCATGTATTATGAATGTACATGTGTGTATACATATACATCTATATGTACATACAATACATACACACATGCATACATTTTTAAATCTGGTCTCAATAACAGAACAGTACCAAAATGTCATTGCCAAAAAGTAATAAAGGTTAGCACTTTCATTTATTAGTTTATAATAATTTGAAACATCTCAAACATAGCCTAATATGCAATCAAGATTAGAATGAGATTATTATTAAAAAATTATGCAATAACTCATGACAAATATGGTGAAATACCTAGTTTTGAAATTACATAAATAAAAACTTGCATAAAAAAAAGTTGCGAAAAAATATATGAAAATCGTGAAATACCTAATATTACTGTCAAAAGCCACCGAATTTCTCTTCTTTTTACTTCTTAAAATCCTCCAGTCATTAAGCCTGCGACGTAAACTCGATCTGTAAGCTTTTGATCCCGCCAACGTGATCAGCTGATGTTGGAAACTTTTAGCGGAGCTACCTCTTCATTAAATCGCAATAGAAATAATTAAGTGCAATTGAATAAAATTTTTGAACTCATGTAATACGTAAAAATTCATGATACAAAATAGGCAGTAGAGATTTCATTCTTCGTAAATACCTTAATGAAGATTTCCTACCCGACATCTGTCAAAATACATGCCCGAAAAATTTTTAATAACGGAATCAAAAATCCACAGCAGCAGAAATTTTATCGGCATTGTAGCATCCGCAGACCCAGTTAACTGAGCACGTTGCATACTCAGATCAACAGCCACTCTGTATTCAAAAAAAATTTTTTTCAGAACTGATTCATCACACATCTAATCACGAATCCCTACAAGACGTACTTTCAAATTCTGATCGATTGCTGAAAACACAAATTACCATCAATGTTGCCATTTAGAAATGAGAAGATTGAGTACCTTTTTCGTCCTTTAATAAATTTATCTCTAATACCTTCACTACAGTAATCACTTAATCATTAGTATGTTTGTTGCTACTTTTTATAAATGTATATTTATTTAAGTATTCCGAAAAAATATAATATTGAAGAATTTATATAAATGTCATAGGTTAAAGAAAGTTTACTTCTACTCTCATGAGTAACTGAAACCGAAACGAGTCTTGTTTTGATGTCGTGCCGCTTTATGTAAACAGTAATTTTATATATATAATTTTCATTTTGTTTTGACAAAAAAATGTACTCTTATGTTTATCTACGTGGTGTTAAGTAACTTTTATTTATTATATGTCATAATATGAACTTAAGCAACTATCCCTTGTGCATCATTATTTTATGAACTTTTATTTTCGTCTTCAATAAATTCGTTTTCGTTAAAAAATGACAGAGGAATGTAAGAAGGCTGAAGCTGATGCAGTAGAATTCGCAAATCGAGCAATACAGTTCGATCAACAGAATACGTATAACGCTGCAATATATTATTATCGAGTACGTATTTATTGATTCTCCTTTTAATAATATTTCTAAAATAGATTTTAATTTTTTGATTGCAGAACTCGTAAAATATGTTTTCTCGGCATGGGCTTAATTTTAGATACTTTTTACTCGAAGAAAGTTTAGAGAGTGAAGCATGCAATAAAGTAGAAAATTTTTTGGTTTAATCTAAGTATCCGGTGCACACGGGATTTGGTTACTTTTGGCAAATTTATGATGAACAGTAAAAACGGGACATATACGATGAGGAACGGGTCATTCACGATGAGGAACGGGTCATTCAAAGAATATATATAGTGTATATGCGGTGAAGTCCTAGTATACGGTGCAGCCTTGGCGCAATTTTGAAAATTATCGCCAACAGCAAAAATGATCCAATGAACGTCTATATATTATACACTATATACTATGTGTGGAAGCACTTCCGCAGAGAACCCGGTAAATGTAAACATCGCCAACTTTGGCGATAATAGTTCAAACCTGGTAACCTAGCTAATTCATCCTATTCGCTTATGCGAAGGTTGTCGTTGTTCGCATTGGAGATTTATATTATTTTTCTCTTATTTATGATGATTTTTTCTGAATTTTTAACAACGAATAGATAGAAATATTTCGCATAATTAAAGAAGTTTCGTCGAAGATGCCGGTTCTGGGTCGTCAGTTCGGGATCAAGGAAGAAATTATGGCGGGAGGGGTGAATGCTAATTTGTAACATGGCTGTTCACATTATGTTCTTATTATTAACAGCTGTAAGCACGCAGAACCATGAGGTTTCCAACCCCTATAATAATTTTAAAATGTATAAAGTTCTAGTTTTATTAAAATGCTACTGAAGAAAATTTGATTACTGTTGAAGGTTATTTGTATTGTGAAATATATTATGAAAAGGATAGGATTTGTTTCAACGTAAAATGCTTTAAGCTGTATGCAAAACTTGAAAAAAAAAAAAAAAATAAATAACACTATGTAAAATGGATATATAAAGGTCATGCATTCATTAATTTATTACATGGCATGGCTCTTACCGAAATACATCAATCAACAGCAGAGTACTTAATAGTGAAAAAGACATTTGTAATAGAAATAGAGTATTCTAATGAATTAGAGAAAATACATATAAGTATATTGTAAAGAAGTATAAGACTAATTGTTATTTTTTAAATGAATAATACATTGTTTCTGTGCTAACTTGAATTTAATGGAAATTTATTTTCGTATATCACATTTAACCTGTTAGTTTCATATCTACATACTTATTATCTGTGAATTTTTACTACCATTGCCTGCTAACTTGAATTTACATCACTAAAAACCATGTTTACAAAATATCACGCTTACGGCACGGCTCATTGGTGAGTAAAACTGCAACTGCGCCAAAGAGTTCTTTCCCGAAGCGCCAACGGGTTCTCTGCGGATGAAAACCCCTATGTGTGTATATAGATAATAATAAAACTATATATATTCTTTGAATGACCCGTTTACTGCTCATCATAAAGTAGCCAAATCCCGTGTGCACCGGATACTAGGATTAAATCGTAAAAACATAGACGTTCTTTAAGTCATTTTTAGTATTGGCGATAATTTTCAAAATCACACTAAGGCTGCACCATATACTAGGATTTTACCAATTTTTGTTTATAAAAAAAAAAGTGTTATATTCTCAAAACTAATAAAGTCAAATTTATCTAAATAAATTGCTACTCATCATTAAAACTAATTTTAATGTTTCACTCAAAAAATTTTGGAACTATTCTGATATGCGCCTTCAAGTCGCCAAACATTTTTGGCAAGAAACTCCACGCTGCCATATTGCTATCTAAATTTTTTGTCTACATTTCGAACTTTAAGCCTAAAATGTCTCCAAAAACACGGTTTTCGCGAATGCAAAAAACCACATTTTGAACACACAATTTAAGCTAAAAATACGAAACAAAAAATTTAGATAGCAAAACCGTAAAGTTTCTAACCAAATTATTTGACAAGAGTCCATGTACACAGTGATATGTTTTAACTTAAAAAAATATCTAGGAATGACACAATCTAGGCAACGAACGAATCTACGAACTACGCACACCTCATTTTAATAAATTAACATAACAATAAATTTCAAATAATACCATGTACGCAGCGTCCTGTTTCAACTTAAAAAAACATCTACAAATTGCACAATTTAGGCAACAAACGAATCTACGAACTATGCACACCTCACTTTAATAAATTAACATAACAACAATAAATTTCAAAGAATGCCATGTATACAGCATTCTGATTTCAACTTTAAAAAACATCTACGAATTGCACAATTTAGACGGTACGCCCTAATTAACAAAATAACTAAAATAAATTTCAAACAATTCAAAAAAAACCAATAACGACAGAAATTCATACTAAAAAAACAATAAACATAACATTCTACAAAATAAGAACAAGAATAAAATAAAATGCACTTACCATGAATCAATGCTTTTTCAAACAGCAGAAATACCAATTTCATACCGCATTTAACATGCCGCCACATAATCACTATCATATTTATATGACAGCCAGACACACTATCCAGAAAATTCATGCTATGGTTTACAAATAAATAAAATAACAAATAATCACAAATCCCTATTTCTATCATGCACGGCCACTAAAAATAATCTCCCAGAACCTCTTTCCACACCTCCAAATACCCACTGCCCCTCAACAGGATGGCCACGACGATATTTCCTTTTGCCGAACTTCAATTCAACAACTTCCACCATTTTAGCTTCTCAGACACGGAGCATGACGCAAACCAACGAACTCCAGCTAAAGATTTTTCAACGTCAACAGGGTTGCCATACAACATGCAATCGTGCCAAAAACCAGCGCAGAACACATATCACCACATTTGGTGAAATTAGGGCGTATATCAAAGTTGTACCAATTGTACCAAAATTTCAAGAAAGTAAAATAATAAAAAAAAAAAAAAAAAAAAAAAAAAAAAAAAAAAAAAAAAAAAAAAAAAAAAAACAAAAAAACAAAAAAAAAAAATATTAATTACATTTAAATTCGTTTATAATATAAGCATTTAATAAACATGAAACTTCTCTGCATTGACTGATTCAAAAATCCTTTGCTATTAGATAAATGTTATTTTCAGTTATATTCTACTGTAGAAATTTGCGAAAACATTTATCACTAATGCCAGCGTACCATAATTATCAAATATCAAACCTTATGGCTTATGTAAATCAAAACACTTTACAGATTTTTCTCACCTATCAACAAGAATCACAAACCACACTCCAGTACATTTGATAATTGAGTAAAAATACAGTGAAATGATTAGGTAGTAAATGTTCTCGAGTGTGTCAACATCACAACTGATGACAAAAGTGAGAAAATATTCGAACCTGTGGACTAAAACAGCAGTGTTGCTACTTTTGGGGGAGACGGGTGAGGGGAAGAGATTAAGAACAAACAAATGTAGTTATTTAAATAGAAATAAAAAATTCTGTTTTAGCTGGGGGGGGAGGCTTCCCTGTAACACCCAAGGATTCACCATCTACTGAATTTGTGCAATTCTTTGACTTGTTATTTTGGCCACTACACAAAGACAAAATAACAAGTCAAAGAATTGCTCAAACTCAGTATTCATGTACACATCAACCCATTTTCACTTAATAAAACATCAGAGAATTGCACAAAGTTGGCATTGCGCACTCCCGTGACTTTATCCACGTACACATCGATCTATGTTCACTTAAAAAGTCAAAGGAACAGCCAACAAAAAATATATAATCTCAATAAACTACATTTTAAATTAAGCAATCAAATAACATAAAAAAGGAAATTCATCTTAGCACTACACGAAGGAAATACCCGCTTACTTTATTTAGAAATTTTCCTTTCTTCAGTCAAACAAAACTCTTTAACAGCATCCAAAAACTTCCTAAAATTATCTGAACTAGAATCTGTATACGGGCAATGCCACATAAATTCACAAAAATAAGAGCAAAAAACATCCTTCGACGTTTGACCATGCGCATTTCCTTCATGCAAAAAGGACAGTTGTAATGGCTTCTAAGTAAACCTTCATTTACACACCAGTCAATTGATGCTGTTTTCCCCTTTCGTTCCAAATCGTACAGAAACTTCAAATTAATCTTACCACATTCAGCCATTCTACCGTCTAAAACCACAAAACTAGCAATGTACGTCCTAACCAACACAAACCACAAGCTCTTACAAATCTATTCAAAATTTACCGCAATTATGCAACCGATTATATCATAATAGGGTTTCCATAACATTGAACTACTCAGGTTACCATAAATGAAACAACAACTTGGCGATAAATGAAACAACTTTACGATAATACAAGAGACATCCTTCAATCAACTCTAACCAAGATTTGTGTAACCAATGTAATAACCAATGTACTTCCTAACCAACATCTAATGATGTTGATTAGGAAGTACATTGGTTATTTTGTGGTTTACATGGTAAAATGGCGAAATGTGGTAAGATTAATATGAAGTTTCTGTACGGTTTGGAATGAAAGGGAAAAAAAGCATTTATTGATTGGTGTTTAAATGAAGGTTTACTTAGTGGCCATTATAAGTATCCTGTTTGTATACAGGAAATGCATATGGCCGAACGTCAGAGAATACCAGCACTAGGGAGGATATTTTTTACTCTTATTTCTGTGAATTTATGTGGTGACAGCAGTATACAGATTCTAGTTCGGATAATTTTAGGAAGTTTTTGGATGCTGTTAAGGAATTTTGCTTGACTGAAGTCACGGAAATTTATAAATAAGGTAAGTGGATATTTCCTTTGTGTAGTACTAAGGTGAATTTTCTTTTTTATGTTATTTCATTGTTTAATTTAAAATATAGTTTATTGAGATTATATATTTTTTGTTTGGCTCTAGTGTAGAATATGCTGCTTCTTTGATTTTCTAAGTGAAAATAGATTGATGCCAGACACACTAAAAGACACAGACAAAGTGAAGGGAGTGCGCAATCCCAAGTTTGTGCAATTCTCTGATGTTTTTTTAAGTGAAAATAGGTTGATGTGTACATGGATATGGAGTTTGTGCAATTGTTTGCCTTTTTATTTTTGCTTTGAGTAGCAGCGATTCACCAAGGGGCACCCATAAATATATTTTTACCTTGTGTAGATATACAATTACCGCTTTGTGGGAAAGTGCCTAATGCATTGCGCAGCTGCACCACAGGTCTGGCCTTCCATCCCTTGAATAGGTCGATAAAATGAGTAAAGTCCACTTGGGGACTAAACACCGTGGGCATGCTGATGCACTCCGAGGCCCAAGGTCAAGAAATCAGATTTCGGTGCACTGCAGGCCATGGCCCACTGGGGCTGTTGCGGCTCTGAGTTTTGTTTAGTAGATGTACAGTGACCTGTGTATGGCTGTGTAGCTTAGCTGCAGTTAATCTTGATTTCAGCGGAGACCTTCGGAAAATATTTATAGGTCTCTCAACATACACCTGTGTTGTCCCAATTCTTTTGTCGTTCTGATATGCCTAAAACATTTGTCTTGTTCTTGATATGAGAGACTGGATTTTGAATGGAGATGTGATGCATACTGGGATGTGCTATTGCAGCTTTCACTTATTTATCCATAAACTCATTTCCATATGTTCCAATATGGGCTTTGATTCATCTCAGCTTAATCTTTCCTGTAGTGTGTACAGTCAGATGGCAGATGTCATGTCCAATTCTGTTTTTGCATTTGACACATGTTATTGCCAAAATACTAGTGTATGTATACTAGAGTAAAACTGCAACATATTTAAGGATGTTATACTGGATCACAATCTTGTATTCAAAATATTGTGTTTTAGACTATTGTGCATAGAGACATAGTCTAAGTTCAAACCCACTTTCATGGCACTGTCTTAAAAATTATTTTTAAAATATTATTATGTATCTTTTGATCTTGTGCAATTATATAAATTTGAAAATTAATTCTCAAATAAGCTATAAAAAAGTAACTGCAGTTTCAGAATTTACACTTAGCAGAATTTCTGCCAACTTTGAATTAGTGTTTTGTAAGGCTTGTTAACATATTGTAATTTAAAGCAGTGATATCCCTTTCTAGAGTATCACCTTTTAAGTTAGTGATGCATTTATTAATTTCTGTTGTTCAATGATAAATTTCACGATGTATAAAAAATTCACTGCAGAAATTTTAGATGTCGATAATGTAGCAGATAGCCAGAGTAATACACTTACGTTGTATAATAATTAAATTTACATGACATGCAATAAATGGTAATTTACTGGAGAAGGTCCAGAAGTTACCAATTTTTATTTAAATTTATTATTTGTTTGTAAAATATTTTATGAAATATATTTTTGATAATATTTTAGGTGGCAGCTCAAGCCCTACATTCTGCATATCTTCTTGGATCACAAGTAGCTGGAATTAAAGAAAAGGCTGATGAATATATTTCAAGGGCTGAAGCTTTGCACAAAATAAGTATGATTGACTTAATTACAGTACAATTTCAATAATCTTAAACCTTGGAACCAAGGATTTCACAAATTAATGAATTTTTGGGGTTATGTGGCATGTCTTTCTGAGTTTTGTTTATTCTCCCATTGCAAATTTTACACTACATTTGGATTGCTTACATATAAGTAACTACCAAAACATATAGATATCTAAAGAATTTCTAAATCAAGATTTATAGATGCAAGAATATTGCTTTTTAAAAATACAGTAAAAGCCAGGTTATCAGGTATTCTGCTAATTGTAAAGCTCAAGTAACCAATTACGATCTTTCATTTTAGTTATGTCTGTAAAAAAGGATTTTTGTAAAGTATACTGCGCAAAAGAAAAGGGAGGGAAGGGACAGTTCTATATCTTCCATTCTACTGGGCATCTTTTGACAAAATTAAAATTGCATTTTTCATGTCTTGAAAGCGTGACTTAGGATATATGTTAGATTTATATATAGCAGACACAAAATTGGACTTTTTCTGAAATAGCATTCCAATTTTTTCCATATTTCGATTCTACGACTCATATTATGCCTAGATATTAAATTTTGTAAAATTTGGTGTGAAATTTACGGAGAAATTCAAAAATTTATCTTGGCGTAATTTTTTCAGTTTTCGCAAAGAATAATTTACTTCGTAAACTTCTTAATATGTGGCAACCAATTTTCCTTTCCCTTCCATTATGCTAGAGCGGGAAAAAAGGCACCTCGTTCCTACCTTTTTACAGTGTGCATGAGCAGAAAAAAAAGTCACATCATTACTACTTCCAAATAATTTTGGCAAAGTGCCTAAACCACATTTAATGTTTTATCGCTTTCAACAAATATGCCAAATTTCAAAATGTGCCGATATATAAATTCACGTATGTCTTTGGAAATTTTGAATAAAAAAACTGTAATTTTTTGCAGGTATGCTTAGAAATATGTCTACTTTAAGATGGTGGTAAAAATTTTATAGATTATAATTCAAAAAGTTTTTTGAAAAATTTATAAAAAAAAATTTTAAATGCAAATTTTAAAAATAAAACATAAAAAAGGGGTGAATTTTTATTTGGAATGAACCCAAATTTCAAAATGTGAATGGAAGAATCAAATGAGTTTAATAAAAAAAAGAGAAATTAATAAATATATACCAAACTCAATTAACATTGAGGAGCTCAAATTTTAAGAGCTAATTTCTTAAAAACTACTTGTGCGATTTTAACAGAACTTGATAGTTTGGCATAATTTGAGTGGTAGAATTGAAATATGGAAAAAAAAAAATGGTATGTTATTTCAGAAAAAGTCTGATTTTGTGTCAAAGTACCTGTATTAGAGCAATGCTATATATAAATCTAATACATATCCTAAGTTGCACTTTTGAGACATGAAAAATGCAAGTTGAAAGAAAAAACTGTCTGTGGGTTTTTTAGAAGGATGTTTGACAGGCTTAAATAGAGCACAGCTAATTATTAAAACTTTAAAATAAAATACAGTTTCTCTGGATAATTGATTAGCACTTCGTGCCAATTAATGCACCAGTACTGGTAGGCTTGAAGACTGATATTGCAGGCATCTAAAAAGGGGAAAATTCAGACTTGCAAATTATGAGGTCCACCTATTAAATTTAACAGCTGAAAAAGAGGCAGCTTCTTTACCACTAAGCATGGATGAGCACATTGTTGATATTTTATTATTATCTTGAAAGGAGTTCTAAAAGGAAGGGAAAATTGGAACAATTCCACAACTGCATTATACTGAAAAAAGAAAGATTTTGATACATGTATGTAGGCTGGCCATGTTTAAAGAAATGTTTATCTAAAATCCTCAACCAATGCAACCCACTTCTTGCATTTTTTAAAGAAGTAAATGCTAGGTGTAGTTACTTCTTCTACTGTTAAAAATAGGTTTGAGAGAAATAAAGTACTTTCTGCACCAGTGAGCAATTTAATTAGCAATTCCCAAAATAGTACTACAAAATCTAAGCATAAAGCTAATATAAATTTCTCTCGAAAAAAATATCTCAACAATGAAAACATTTTCCAATTACTGTAAATTTATCTTCCGAAGAACGAATATTTATGTTTTTATCTTAGGACTTTAACAAAGCTTTTCCCTTTTTTGTACAATTCATTTTACTATCATTCAGTGCTCTTAACACAGTTCTACAAAGTGGAATTCCATTAATTCATGTTTTCCAATCAATGATTTATGATCTCTTTAAAGCCATTTTATCAAAGTTTGTGAAGCCAGTCTTTGTTTTGTCTTCTAATTCTGTATATGATGTGATTTATAGTGAAATAGAAAATCAGAAGAAAGATTAAGGTCTGGTAACTAACAAAGTGGTGGAAGAACTTTCAGAGGAAGACAAAAATAAGTTTTATTTCCACAACAGAAGCTACTTCTATAGAGATTACATACTACATAAATTTCTAATCAACAATGAAGTGATTTTACATGCTAAAGTTGCAAATTTTTCTGCTTTAGCAAATGCATCTTTTTCTGATATAATGTATTTTTAATAGGTTTCAGTTTTGAAAGATGATGATGTTGCAACTGATGAATTTCAATCATGGTTTTGCAGTTTACAATTAGGAAATTTGGATAAAGTTATAAACCAACATTGTTTGACAACCAGTGGAGTTTAATTGGAAAACTGATTGTTAATTGGAAAACTTAATTTTTTGTTAACTTAATTTTTAGTTTAATTGGAAAACTGATTGAAAAGTTACTGATTGAATTTTAAAGTATAGTGAGCTGTCTAAAATGATGTTGGCCATCCTGACGATTCTCCATAGTAATGCAGAGTGCGAGAAGGTTTTTAGTATTGCTGCAAAAGCAAGGACTAAATTTATATCTAAATGGCAGATTCAAAAAACTTTTATTAGCAAAAGCAGGCTTACGGGACTATTGCTATGTATAAAATTATGAAGTTTCTTCTCGAATAGAGTTACAAAATGATTAAACACATGTAGGTGAGTTATTTCATACATGAAAACAATGTAAATACGTTACCCCTCTTGTGTCACCAAATGACTAAGTAAAAAGTTGTGGCAAGACCAGTAGCCATTGCCGCCATCAAAATCGATGTCAGCGCTGGCTCCAAAGTTGGCTGAGAGATGCATGGCCATAAGAGAATGTTTAAAAACATGATGTCGAACATATGGGTCTAAAATTTAATAAAAAGTCCTTGCCATTCATGAAATTCTCAAACCCCAAACAGGAAAAAACTGGGACAGTCCGCGCTAATCGTAGGTGTGCAGTAAGCCTAGCTAGAATTGAAATTTTGGATTTATTGATGTTCTTTAGCTGTTTTTTCTTTATCATGTTTTCCATATTGCTGCCAAAAAAGGTCAGTACAAATGCTTTTTTCAATATTCTATCCCTGTGTACAGTTGATAGTAAAAATGTGCTTATCATACAGAATATAAATAAATAAAAGAGCACATCATCTGAAATAGGGAACAAAGCTTAATTTCCAAAATTAAAAATGTTGGAGCCCTATAGAAGGTCATCAGAGAAATAAAACAAATAAAAAGTAACAATTAAATAACAAGTGGTTTAGTAATAAAATAAAATATTGCACCTTGTCTTACTTTATACTTCTACAGGAATTATAATTTCATTTAAGAACTAAGAAGTATCAGAACTAAGCTGTGTTGGGCTGCAGTGCAATTTAAGCTCCAATCAGAAAAATTTGGGGCTAGTAAACTGCTTATAAAACTAACCGTGCAACTCAAAATTAAATTAAAAAGACACTGGAATAGGTATGCCAAGGGATAGATTTATCTAAGGTAAAAAAAATTTTAAGATTCACAGTCTGTGTTTACCATAAGTGAAAGTGTTACTATGCACAGAAAATGATGAATAACTTCAGTAATCAAGTAAATTAATTTCTTCAATTCTATGTGTAGAAAAAATGTACTGAATTTTATTTGCTTACTTCCAAAAATAAGCACAGATTATAGGATTCAAAAATTAAGTGGTCACAGATTATCAGAATTTTGTTGTATTTAAAAAAATTAGTAATCTTAAAATTTTTTGAGTTTTATTCTATCATTTTTAGACCACATTTATTCATTCTGCATGTTAGGTTTGAAGCAGGGTTATTCAATTCACCAAAGGTCTCAAATGGCTTTAATACTATCTGGAAGTGAAAAATATTCAAAAGTGTAAAAGCAAATTTTGTAGAGCAGTAAAATCTTCAGAAATTTAGCATTTGTATTGCATTGTTACATTTTATTATTTGATCACGGCAAAACACACAAGGGCTATCTGCCTAAGGGGAAGAATGAATTCATGGAGAACTTTATAAGGGAAACTGCCTTGTATATATACAGAAAAGTTAAGACAGCCCATTTACTTTCTCTAAAAAATAATCCTGCCCCTTTTTTGTGTGTATGGAATTTATGTAGTCTTTATTTGAAGATGCAGCCAACGAATCTGCTCTTGCAATTCACTACATTTTATGCAATATAGCACTACAAGCTTCCTTTCTAATAAACCTTCACATGAAAGGGAATATCACATTTTCTAATAAACCTTCACAAAAATGTTCAGTCATCAGACATTTTTGTGATTGTTATTTCATTACTTCCTGATTATCTGCTTCTCTCTTAAAAAAGTTGCCAATTCATCATTGACTAAATTTTTGCAATGAAGTTATTATTGTGATGAACTTTTACTCATTATGAAGTTCAAACACTCGAAAGCCACATTTGAAAGGCAAATAGCCCTTCTGAAAATTCCATAAAGGAGTATTGAATCAATAAAATTAAAAAATGAAGGAACATCCAAAAACATTTGCCTTCTTCAAGAAATCTTTATGTGCCCTACGTTGTTCTCCCCACATGCATAGCAATCTGTTTTTGTTTAAAAAAAATCAGAGATTGCACAAATTTGCCATTGTGCATGCTTTCTTCCCATACATACATTGATTTGTTTTTGCTATAAAAAAACAATCAGACATTTGCATAAATTTGGTTTTGTGCACAAATTTTGATCATTTAAGAAGTACAACTTTGTGGAATGGGAATTTTTGTATTATGTACTGTTGGACAATAAGCTGCACTTCTGAAGAAATGCAATTTCCCCCCCCCCATTAGTCGAACTCCATAGTCTCATTACGATTCCGTACAAGGAAAAAATGTACTTGGTGCAAAAAGAAGCACTAACCAGAAAAAATGGCCATCTAGTGTGTGCACATGCATAATAGGTTGCCACATAAATAGATTTGGATTTCGTTTATTAGTTGCCTATTTGGGCAGCATAGTGCATTGCCTTGTGAGCACTTTTCAAGGTGTAGAGATAAGCAGAAAAAAAACCATTATTGCTAGAGCATCTTCAGCCAGCTCATAACTAAGTGTAATAATAGTTTTGTAGGTGACAGTAAGCGAGGAGTTAAGAGTCAGTTAATGAAGCTGAATATATTAAATAGATTACAGTGGTTTCATCAGAAAAATTGAAGTGAATAAAATGAAGAATTAGCTCAGAACATAGAAGTAGGTTTCATACTTGAGCTTCTTTAAAGCGACAGTGCAGAATTTTTAAAAGATTTTAAAATCTGTTTATAACAGTAAAAATGGTGCAATATGTTAACGCTGTTATTAATAAAGGATAGGAGATCTTTTGCAACAAAGGTATGAACTGAGAATAGAGTTCCATCTTTAAAAAGTGGGGGCCAGTTTATTGCACAGTCCACTGGTCGTCGTCTTTTTTTTTTTTTTTTTTTTTTTTTTAAGAAAGACGTGTGACTTTTCCTTTCCTTTCCAAAAAAATTGCAAGTTATTCGTTTTCAACCAATCAGCTATCAGCTTCGAATGCTATCAGCTTGTTTGTAATGTAGAACCAGTTTCCCCGGTGTTAGCCACAAAGCAATCTATGGTGATTGGCTGTTGTGACAAAGCAGAAAAATTGTTTCAAACAGTTGTTCTTCTAAAACAAACCGACATGTGATAGCAGCCTAAAAGACCATGTTCTCATAGAAAATCAGCAACAGATTTTTTCACTTAAGATAAGTAACTTGTAAAACTCTTTTAACAATATTGTAGAGATTTAGGCTTCATAAATTATCTGAAATGCTTTAAAAATATGTACTGCCCCATGTTTTATTCTTTTCATAAATGCTGTTATAAAATGCCCAGCTGCAGTAAGATGGTTTGGGTTGCCAAAAAGTGCAAGGAAAGGTAGGATTGCCGGATTTGGCACAAAGTTGGTGATATGCTATAGTCAGTACGAGAACATTCTAGAACGAATTCTAGTTTTCCCAAGAATGTTCACGAAGGCAGGCTATATTTACCTTGCCTGTAGCAGTGTATCGTGAGTAGTATCTTGAGTTCAGTAGTAGTGTCGTGAATTCAGAGGTTAGCTGGAGAGCAACCAAACCAATTGTAGCCTGAAAGCTATGTTGCTGTTGTTTCAACATCTTTATCATAGTTTTTCGATGACTGTAAGCATGTCTTTTTAACTCTCCTGTGTAATACTGGCAAATATATTGTATTTTGATTCTTTATCAAATGTTGTCATCAATTGCTTCAAATCCATGAACCTGTAGAACGGTCCAGTACTTTGAAATACCTAATAAAACTATTAATATAATTCTTAGAAACCCTTAATAATATAACTAGTTATAAGTATTAAAACTTTTAAAAAATTAAATGGATGGCACACTATACTAGCACCAGAAAAGGAATATATATTATGTTCTACAATTTTTGTGTAGCTTACAATAAAAAAGAAAACTTAGATTTTTGTGTTACAAAATAAAAGTTTTTCTTTTTTTCCCTCTCTTAAGTATTAAATAATCTTAATGTATAATATTGGTGAAATAAATGTTTGCCAATATGCAAGTTACTAAAGTTTCAAAACTTTGATGATTTATTTGCAAAGCATGAATGTGGGTAAAATAATAGCCTACATTTTCCTACAAGTTCTCTGTAATGCAGATGAATGAAATTCTTCCTGGTAGTCAAATCTGTTCTTTTGCCTTTCTTATTTTTTGCTCTCATAATGCAGATGTAATCTTAAAAAGCTCTCTATGGAGACATCCATTCTGATAGGTAAATTGCATTTGCATGTTCACTTTATTAATCAATCCATGACGTAAAAAATATTTAAAAATTTTAAATGATTTGCATTAGTTACTAAAAATTTGGAAACTAATCTAGTATGTTGATATATTTTCCCATTATTATTGTGCTTTAATTTAAATCATTTAATTTTGTTGTAGTAAATTTCAAGAATCTAAGCCAGTGTATCTATATTTTCAATAATGAAATTATGTACTGCATACTGTGTGTGCTAGATATGTGGAGGTATATTTAACTGTATGGTTAATTATATGTTTTGTTCTGTGCTCATAAGTTTTTGTAAGCATGAAAGCAATTTTACCCCCTTTCTAGAAATTCAGATTTCTCAAAGAAAACCTGAAAAAAATGAACACAAACTTCAGTTGGAGAGGGCAGAATTTTTGCTTCGGCAAGGTTTAGAAGAAGATGAAGCTGGAAATGAAGAAGAAGCTATTGAATTGTACTTACAGGCTGCTGAACTATGTTTAAAATCTGTAAGTTTTTATCTTTAATATAAGATGCTGGTATTATTTATATGATAAAGTAATCAAATTTTGCTTTATTTGCTGCAAAAGTACAGATGAATTTATATTTTTAGAATCTCTTTTCTTGTCTCTTTTTACTCTTTATTATGTTCTTTCTTTTTTAATAATTTATTTTCTTTTTTCCCTAAAGAGGAAGTTAACTCAAGATAAAAATTTACAAGTGAAGCTATCAAAACTGGCTGAAAATTCTTTGGATAGGTATTTATCAGCTGAAAATTTTACTTGTTCTTATCACGAAAGCATTTGCCTATATCATTTGAAATATTATTGATGTAAAACTTTTAGTTTATTGGATTAATGAAATATTTAATCTATTTGAAGTTCAAATTTCTGAACAACTCAAAAATTCATATTCTTTTTTATGAATATGAAATATTGTAATAAGCAGAGTGGTTTACATCTAAAACTTGTTGTTAATTGGATGTTTGTATTGTTAGAACTGCATGATTTATTGCTATTAATAATTAATGCTATAAAATTATATAAAATAGATACGATAATTTTGGAATACCTTGGCGTAATGATTGAAACAAAATAATTTAATACGATAATTTCGGAATGCCTTGGCATAATGATTGAAACAAAATAATTTAGTCTGTAGTCAGTTAAAAAAATAGGAAGTTCTTACCTGATTCTTGATCTGATGAACTTCAGAGACAGTAGTTGAACCAATTTTAGATATTAATCCTTCATTTGCACAACATAATCAGGGACAACTTTACGCTCTTGCTGATACACATCTTAGCTACATCCGTAACATTAATATAATTTTAAAACAGGTATGGCATTTCAGCACCATCTATTAACCAGAGTTCTCAATATCCTGCATGGCTGAAAGTTCATCAAGAGAGGAAAACATTCATTAAGTATTATTTGAGAGTTCCAGAGGACATAACAGTTGTTCAGGTCTCCTAATAAGAGTTCCATTCAAAAGCCTCACGTTGCATGCACGTACACAACCATCACGTCCTGAATGTATTTCAATCATAATGCCCGTTCACTGTAAGAGTCTAGGTGTATTGTCATTTTTTATCAAAACCACAGTGTTCTCTTAAGTTCTGTGGGCCGGTTGACTGGTAAGCTGACCAGAAGAAGGTATGATGCTTTCTATCTTTTCCAAATTCAGTTAAGTAAATCTTCTTGGTATCTTCTCATTTTCAAAAGATGGGATTCAAAGGAAGGAATCCCTTTACTTGCTCAAGAGAAAGTCAGTAATCATTGTCCAGTCAAAATGTCCAGGTGAAGTGGTTTTGGTTCATTTGGATTACTGAAAACATAAGCGAGATGGCTGGGGTTGATAATTGTCTCTGTCTCTATCAACATAATTTCCAGTTCTTAAAATGAAACAGATGTTCTTCTTAAGATTCTTCTCAGAGACATTTTAACTGATTTCACTACATGTTCGCGAAAACCACTCCACCAAGTGACCCTTTCAATGATAAATTTCCATTTGATAGATAACTTCCCAAATAAATTTTACACTTCTTCCCCTTTTATGATTTTTCATAGTGGATTCAGTTCTCAGTTTGTTTTGGGGAATATCTTTGCATTATCATTGTAGATTACATTGCAAATGTCTCTTCTTCCAACTACTTTTCAAAAAGCTTATAGAAATGTCTGAGAGGTCAAGTCAAGAGTCAATTCCAAATGTATCGCTCTGGTCATGGCACAAGTGAAGAACAGCGCATAGGTCGTCTTCATTGTATCTTGATCTTTAATGTATAATGGTCCTAAATAATCTAATAAAGTCATTTGAAAATAATATGCTTTGATATTATCTCAGCTGGCAGCGGTGCAGGAATATGGGTCATATCAATCTGAATTTCACCCCAAATTTCTGCCATGAAATGCATTTATACAGTATATAATAATCTTAATTATTTGTCTGGTCTTAAAATCCATTCTTTCTTCCTAAGATCATTCAGTGTTTCTGCTACACCTCCATGTTTTACTCTTTCATGGCAGTCCTTAATGATAAGAGCAGACAACTGAGAACTACTTTGCATCAAAACTGGATGTGCTTCTTGATGTGAAATTAACATATTCAAAACGCCTTCCAATTAAAATTATTCCTCTTTCATTTAAAATAGGATTAATTGGCCTAATGATGGACTTTGTTGCCAATGGTCTGCCTTTAGTTAAAGCCAATATTTCTTGGGGGCAATACTTCATCTGTATTCTTTTTATCCAGTACAGTTCAGCTGGCTGAAGTTCTTCTGTAGTTAAATATCCATTCTTCTTATTGTGAGAATTCATATCTTTATAAATAAATCTCTGAATCTATGCTGAGATTCGTGACTAAGTTTTTGGAATTTCTATACATTGAAAAGGGTTTTTGATTCAATTCCTACAAAAACAGTAATAGAATTTTCTATTTCAGTCTCAGCTTCAAATAAATCAGAAATTTCTCTGCTCGGTTGCAACCAATGTTCTTCATCTTTTCTTATCCAAGATGGTCCATTCCACCACAATTCTTCTCTTTAAGAGCGACTAAGTTGTCTCCTCTAGACAGCAAATCCTCATTCTATTCCAGAACAGTGATTTCACCAGTCTGAATTAGAAAGAGTTCTTATTTCTTCAACAACTCTGTTTTTTAAAACACTTTCAATTTTTGAGTATTGCCTTTGATCCAGTGAAGAATAATCATTGAATTGAACCAGAAATTAAATTCAGTATCTTTCAGAAGTTCCAGGTTGTTTCAAATGTACTGAAATAATCTAGCTCTTATAAGAGCTGCAACTTAGATATTGAAATTTCATGCAACTCTTGATTTTGAAGCTATCAAATAGATTTCATTGTAAGATAAATAAATAACAGCTCCATAGACTCTTTTGCTTGCATCTATAATTCGCCAGTTAGTTTATTTGTCATTTTCTTTTAGTTCAAATAAATGTTGTAATTGTTGTTCAAGTAATGCAGCTCTTCACTCCAATCTTGATATGCTTTTGCCAAATCTAGTGGTAAGGGTTTATCTCAGTTCAGGTTTCTCTTCCATATTTCTTGAAGTATAATTTTCACTCTAAATGTGAACTGTGAAATAAGTCCAATTGGGTCAAATAGCTTTCTAACAGTTCTTATATCTCTTTTCAGTGATTTCCATTCTTCGTGTATTCATCAGTTTTTCGCTGTCAGTGTTTATACAGTGTTCTTCAGAATTCCGACACTATCCAAGTATCTTACAGAGCTGTATCCAATCAAAAGTCTTTAATCCGGAATAATCTATAAATCCAGACCTCAAAGCTACAAACTTTCTGCGCATGCGTAAACGCATAATGCATTTGCGCATGCACACAATACCTTTACACATGTGCATAATACATTTACGCATGCACGTTTAATGCATAACGGAAAGTATAAGCTAAAGCTAAAATTATCTAATTATCTATTTCAGTTAATACTGCAGATTGCGGTGTTCCTTAATCTTCGAATTGGATCCGGCTTATTATTTTTTGCAGACTGTTAGAGCAGTTTTGTAAAAGTAACCTTGAACTTTTGATTATGTCAAATAGAATTTCTGATTATGGAGCTGCCAAAGGATCTACAAAGCAAAAGCATGTTTCAATGTCCATTAAACAAAAAGTAGTGGAATTGCTGCAGAAAATGGCTAAAGGCATGAAGAAAGTGACAGAGGAGTGATTTGTTTCTCTAACCATTCCGAAATCTGTTTATCGATTCTACACTGCTCTGCGGAGGGGGGGGGGGACGTTGCAGCACACAATGAACTGGAAGTTGATCTGTCAGCACTATCCTCATCTTCAGCGCAGATGTTTTTATTTTATTCGGCTTATAATTCCTTACTAAATGTAGTGTTTCATCTCGATGAACTCCGATATTGTTTAAATCAGTTTCCTTGCCATTATAAATACCACGAATACACATCAAATAGTTTTTGGTTGTAATTTTCTAATGTCGACTATGCGTAATGTATGCTTTGCACATGTGCGCATTGAAAGAAATGTTTAATAAAGTAAACAAATAAATATTAACCTTTTTTTTTTTTTTTTTTTTTTTTGTTGTTGTTGTAAATTTTGATACTTTTTAGATCACAATTGCTCTTTATTTCATATTTTTAATTGTATAATTTCTGCATGCCATCTTACCAGATTTAAACTGATGATCTATAATCTGGAAAAACCGATAATCCAGAATTGCCGAATTCTCGAGGAGTCCGGATTAAAGACTTTTGACTGTATTTGTTTCCAATTTCCTTATGTTAAATCCGACTTCTCCTACAATGATTTTCACCTGTCAATGTATTTCAGAGGCAAATTCTTCATCTTGCAGACTGTGGATCATTAACATATAATTTGTTACTTAGGATAAAATGATATTTATTTTAATGAAATGATATTTATATTATTAATGAAAGTAAGAAAGCAAAATATCTTAAATTATAAGCTAGTATATACCAATTAACAAAAAATCTCATGACTGTATAAAGCTGGCCATTGTGCTCAGAGTGTTAATCCACAGAAAGTGCCATTTGCACTTTGGGAGCTGAGGATAAAGGTTCGGTTAAAGCCATCAAAACTAGTCCTGTGAAAATTTGCAAATATAAGCCTGATTTTTGTTTGACTTCCAAATTAATGTTAAAGATATTTATCAATAAACTTTTTTGCACTACTAGTGTCGAATAAAGATTTAATTTTTACCTTCTAATTTAGCTGAGACAGCTGAGTTACAGCTGTATATGTAAATACACAGCTGTAAATATATGTTGCAACCCTCTTGACTTGAAATGGAATAATTTGATGTATATCTATTCCTTTCTCAAAATATAATGGCTATGTTTTTTTACCTCACTTCTTGCACTGTATTTGATTATGGCAAAATCTAGTAACATGAGACTTTTTTTAAACAATTAAAACAATATCCAAGATGTAATAAACTAGCTTTCCATTCACTCTTATAGGTTAGGGCATTTATCTATCTTGTGTTCATCTATAGAACAAAATATCATGCATTTTTAATTGTAGCATTTAATACTGCTGCTGCTGGTAGACATTTAGAATTCTTATATTTTCTGTACTGTATTTTTTCATTTTATTGGCTTCATCTGTCTTGCTGAATAAAAGTGTTTTTCTGTATGTTTATTTATATACTAATACAATATCTTCAGGAATTAAATTTACTAAAATTGCAACAAGAATGCCACCATAATTATTTAGTTCTGCTCTGGCTGTTGTGGGACTTTGAAC